ATTAGTCATATGTCCACGTCATCCCCTCGAATAAGGTTCACCCCTGTAACCATCTATCCCGTCCCATTCCCGCCATTTCCCGGCTATGTCCGCGCCTTCCCCCTTTCCCCCGACACATCCCCACATCATGCCGGCGCCGTCGGCGTCGTCCCCAGCGACGTCAACGAGATCTCGCGCGTTTCCCCCCCTATTTCCTTCGTTCTTTCACTAAAGGTACCTTATTATATACTGATATAATGATTATTGAAGTAATATAAGCGTTTGGACTAGTATTAGTGTTAGAATAGTGTTCTGTACCACTGAGCTGGATTTGTCATCAGGCACATAACCTGTTTTGGACTCCCCGCCGGCAGCAACTCCCTTTCGCGATTAGCTCTATTAATAGATAGCTTTAACCTCTAAGTCCCGTCTTTGAGTGGCCACGTGGCTACGTCATCCATCCGGGATAAGCAGAAAGGCCACTTCGCCCGGACTACTCCCGAAATAGACACTAAGCCGAAATTGGCAGAAGTGCCTTACACGTGTCAGTGGCTTCTTCCCCTTAACCCATCGATCCGAATTACCGGTACGTGTGACCCTTACAACGCCGATTGTTCCCATGGCTCAATTTGAACATTCCCAGCGCCAACCCGACTCTCTTCCCTGCCCTCATCTCCCTTCCGCCCGTCGTTGTTGCCCACGACGTCGCCGTCCCCTCTCCATGGGACATACAGCACGGTACTCCAAGCCAGGTCTCTCCAGCGCGGTAAAGGTGTACTCATCCGCAAGAGGTTCTCGCGTACTCAAGGCTAGCGAGATCGAAAAACGCAAGAAAGAGGCCGAAAAACAACGTCTGAAGCTCTTTTCGAGTACGTTGTCCTTTTCGCCAGCAAAGGACTCTGCTAATCAGTCTTTGCAGCTCTTACGTATGAGGAGAGAGAACAGTTTCTCCCTCCTCCTCCTCTCCAGGACGGCGACCATTCTGACACCCAAGATCACACGTTTGAGGAAGCACTGCCCGCCCCTGGAGACGAAGGACTCACAACAAGCCATGAGGGAGGCGAGTTCGAGGTGTATGAGGAGATCCGGGAGCTGCTCGCCGAGGAACGGTACGTCCTTATTTTTGTGTTTTATTTCACCGGACTAAACTTGTATATTCGTAGCCCAAAACGCGTGGACCATCGTGATCGTAGTAATCGCGTGTACGAAGCCGCTGAAGCATGGACGCCGCAGTACGACGAGCTCGCGTCCGCCTACCTCAAGTACCAGGAATCCCCCCTGAAGCCCTCCTCATCCGAGGAAGCCCCTCCCTCCTCTGACGAATCTCCTCCCCCCTCCGACGAGTCCCCTTCCGATACCAGCGAGACCTCTTCCAGCAAGGACGCCACGGACGAGGACCCATCCAGCAAAACCCAGGCGCATGATCCCTGCTTGAGCGGCTCGGCCCCGAGCGACTCCGGTCATGCGGGCTCCGCCGAAGCCACTTGTGACACCGCTTTTGGCGGCGTCTTCAATATTGAAGTCGTTGACATCTTTGGTGCGTATTTTATCTCTTTCTTTTTCTTCAGAGGAAATAATACTTCTTTCAGATCACGACACTTATTATATTCGACACATCTCCTCTTTTCCGAATGTCAGCCTTGTTCGACACGGCTGCGTCGGCTGTTCTCCTACCAGTCCTACGGTCGCGATCACACTCCGAACGCTCCAAGCATACCACGAGCTCCACCGGGTCTGTCCTCGCCTGAGCGTACAAGCTCAGGCGAAGATGCTTTGCCATATCCACAGAGTAAGTGCCCTCTATCACTATTATTTATCTTGCTTACCTTGCATAGGTCCCATATCGGCCATACCTCAGCCAGCAGTTCCGTGCTGCGTTCGACGTCTACCTCGAAATCATCCGTCGCGTGGATTGCCGCATCGCATCAGCCCTACATCAAGACACCCCCAATTGGCGCATGCTGAATTCGTGCCCAGCCTGCCAGTACCGGCTTAAAGATGAGCCCCCTCTTCGTTTCAGTCTCCTTTGCTCCATGGACGGTAACAATTCACTCAAGCTCGTGGAGCCGTCGCTACGCTCTGGCACCGAGCGTTATGATCCGCGCTGCGGCCGCTCGGATATCTGGCTCTCGGAGGAATATGTCGACCTTTTTGCCAATGAGGTCAATTCCTCGCAATCAACCTCCACGTCCCACGCATCCCCTCCGTCTAGCGTCGACCCTGACACCGAGTTCTCGGACCTTACCACTGACGACACCACCGACCCCACGGAAATCTGCGTCGAACGCTGGAAGAACGCCTCTCCCGAGTTTCGAAAGAAGATGTTCGCGGTATTTCGGAAATCTGGCATCTTCGTCACCGTCTGCCGCCACGGGCTTCTTCTTACCATCTGTGACATGGTCAGAAGCGGGGAGCTGTAAGTAGGTCATCATGTTTCCGATCTCCGCGCTCATTTTCTCATAGAATGAAGTACCCCCTTGCAACGTGCAAAAGGCTGATGGACGTCTTCGGCTCTGATGTCTGCATCGGCTATGACATCAAGTGCCGTTTCTGGACTATCCTCCTTCGCAGCTCCCTCCGCTCTCAAGCTCTCGAGTCTAAGTTTTCCGGTGTCGTTCCAGCCTTTCACGGTCACGCACATAATAGGTATTGTCAGCTCACGCACTTCTCTAAGTATACTCCAGGTACCGGTAAGAACGACTTCGAAACGTGTGAGCGCACATTTTCAGGGTCTAACGCGGTCGCGGGAGAAACCCGCTTTGCGTCCGAATTTCACCGCCATCAATCGATCGACCAGTACTTCATTTCTGCCGACAAGGACCGGTACGGCAGTCTCGGTACGTGATATTCTAACTGCTGCGCTTGTACTAAGCCCCTCTCCAGCGAAGTTCATTCATAACAATTACGTCGAAGCACTTTCCATCATCGCAACATACAACAGCCGGATTGCCGCATTCGACGTCAATATGACACCGGCTGACTTTCAGACCGACCTTTTGGACGAGCGCGAATACCTGGCCCGGATGCACGGGGACCGGGTGGAGGAAACCGCGGAGATGGATTACGTGGTCGCTTTGAATGACCTTGAGGAAGCAGAGTAAGTCCTCATTAATCCCACTTTCGCACTCACATCATTCTTGGCAGGGAAACGTATAAGGCCGCACTTGCCGCTCATCAGCGGCTCGATTACCTCATTATCAGCGAGGGTTTCCAGAAGAAGGATATCGCCAATGTTCGCCGCAACTTCACCGTCGCCTATCAGAAGCTCGAGCTCAAGACCGACCACGTTGCGGAGATCGAGCGCGCTATGGGCTTGGAGAGGCGTTGGGAAACCACGCACCCCCAGCGCGCTCGCATCCAGTCACGGATTTCACATCGTTTATTCACAAAGGCCGCCGACGATGTCGAGCGCCTTGTTTCCATGCGGCTACTAGAGATGACGCGATTGAAGGCTGGTGATCTAGGTGCGTATTTCTTACAGGGATGTCACTGAGTTGAAGTTCTTACGGTGTTCACAGGTTACAAGTTGCGTACACAAATTTCGAAGGCTTTGAACACGCGCGCATCGGCGATCCGTCACGCCATTGAGCGATACAACCGGCACGGAGCCGAGTTAGACCCCCCTGTCGCCCCCCTGGAGTGGGAGAAAATCGCGGAGTACTCGTTTCTCAGCGAGTTCGACTTCTTACGCCAGACTGATTCCCAGGTACACGCGAAGCGATGGGCCAAGCCAGCAGTGCGGCAGGCCGCACTGCTCTACTTTGATTATGAGCGCGCGAAGGAGGAGATTGCGCGTTGCAATGTAGAGATCGGCCGGCTACTCACGAAGATTCGCGACGACGAGGTCGACTATCCCCGCGCTGTCGAACGCCTCAGGACCACTGATCCCCCGCTCGCTATCGAGCTCTCGAAACGGTGGACCATCCTTCGGAGAGTGAACATCACTCTCCTGGCGCGAATTCACCAAACCCAATCACTTCCTGGGTATAGCGGTCCTCGAGGACCCGGCGTACGAATAGGGCGTGAGGGTAATCGGGATATGGACTGCTTTCCTGACGGTGAGGCTATGTCTTCGGCCGGTCTGAGCACTTTACATGGCGATGGTGACACGGAGATGGATGGCGATGAACGCGGACAGCTCGGCAGATTTTTTGAACAGATGCATGTTGATGATTAGTATGATTAGTACCGTGTATGATTTCTTAGCTACATCTCAATCATTCAGACCAATTTTCGTAATCAACAGTGTGATTCTAAGCATCTTACATTCATAGAATTCTGTCTGAGGTTCGAAAAAGCGACCGGTGTCGTCTAGCATTATATCATAAGTGCTACATACTTGTGACCAGTAGTATAAACCAGACTCCGTGCAGCGTACACGCATTGATCTCACCGCTGAGAAAATTCAGCTAAAATGAAACACGCACGTTGCACACACGTAGATTGAGTTCAGTATGTGGAAGTGCGCATCAGAATGATGTGTCGAAGAATCTGTCGACTTATGGTACGCGTCCGACTGATGCATCACACACGTGTTGGCCTCAAGGAAGCATGCCTTATATCATCTACGCTGCAGTGACCGCCCGCGTCATCGACTCTTCCTCACCCGATGCCCCCCTGGGCTGAATCGTCGCTGTACCAGCCACCTACAGTGGCTGGTCTCAACAAGCTGGTCGACCTCTGTCCAACCCCTAATCTGTTTCGCGGCGTACAGGATATTCAGCAGCGTTGGAATGCCGCGCTGATCATGGTAGCTGCCTTCGGCATTCATGAAGATGGCACCCATCTCGACAACATCACCGACTTCCATCCTCACACTGTCGACCACTATCGCACTGGCAAGACCGTACCCAAGCCATCTTCAAAGGGCGAGAAGATCAAGAATTGGAGGGGCCGGTTGGACTTCATCGAAAGCATTCATTCCTCCATACACGATCTGGTACGTTTATCGTGTTCATCCCTTTTCTCTACGTCGTATTAAGTCTTCGTAGATTACGTTACTTGATCGTCTCACTGGAGGCATCTCGGTCTTCTTGCATCACCCCGGCGCGCACGATCCCACTGCGTCGACCGACGTTCATAACCTTCGAGCACACGCATACATGAATCCCCGCTTCCTCCATCGGCACCCGTACTCGCACGTTCACGTCGCAGAGCTCGTGCAGCTCTTCGTTGAACACTTCGCCTATCCTAACGTCACCGACTTCAACGAGGCGCGGCACGCCAAGGGTTGGGGCTCTATGGCGTCGGGCTCGAAGGAGCCTCATCCAATCCCTACAAACCTTCCCCTTGTCCCTTCTCCAGCCTCCCCTCACGCGACCGAACTTATCTTTCAAGGACGCGTCCCTGGTAGCCTTGCTGAGGCCCTCGCAGATCCCGACTGTCCCCCCGTCACTCACATCCCCACACCAACTCCTGGCCAGACGGAGTTCTTGAGGTGGAAGCTCACTCCTCTTCCTCTGGGTCTCAATGATATGCTGTCGTCCTATGGAGCACCCCCTTCCCCCGAATTCATCCGGATCGACCTTGAAGAGGTGTCTCGCCCATCCTTGGACAAGGGCAAAGGCGTTCAAAGGGCTGCACCGGAGTTCGAGGAGGCCACTACGAGCGCCCATCCCTTGCGGTGTTCCTCCCCGGCTGGAAGAACGATTTCATCGGCTCCTTCGAGTCCGTTGCCCCATATCTCCCGATCGGATATACCTAGCCATGTCGCCCCCGCTCACGCTCCTGCCAACGCTTCTCCCGGACAGGCGGGGCCTAGCCATGGCCAGTTCGCGATGATTCCTCCGACTCCGACTCCTTCGACTCTTGATGAGCTCATGGGCTCTCTCAACATCGTGGACCGCTCTGCTCTGATATCCTTCGGCGAGCACACGGAGGCTATGGTTACGCGGCATGGACTTTCCGACACCGTTCACCCAGAGTGCTGGCGTTGTCTCGCCAATTTTCTCCCATATAAATGGGAAGGTGAATTGACGCTGACTTATCCTACTTGGGATATCAGCACGGTGAAACGGCTTGTGCAGGCAATGCTGCTTGACTGCCGGGCGAAATCTCGGCTGCCTCATCGACCCTAGTGACGTTAGATACAGTCGCCTATGTTTTTTTCCATGGTAATTTCGTGATAGTATGAGCCCTGAATCAAATCCGTTCCGAGTATTCCGCAGGTGCACCTTGTAAAGGCTTTAAAAACTTGAGGTCAGTGCCCCAGCAAGCATTCGTTCGCTCCCCCTACCTGAGTTGTCTCTAAAGCCCTTCCCGCTGAGTGCGCTGGGACTCCGCGCTCATGGTCAGCCAAACCACTCACGTGCGCCGCTTGCTCGGCCTTCCCCGCAAAAGCCGCCGCAACTGCCTCACGCCCTCTCAGCAAGCTCTTGTCAATGCGACTCGTGCTACCAAGCGACTCTCTCTCGACCACGACGTTTGCAACGTCCTAGAATACCTCGACAACACAGCGACCGACCTTGCTATCAAACACAGGCGTTCGCGACGCTTCTTCCTCGAACGTTTCTATATGGGATCAACACTTCGGCGTCGGAGAACTAGGAAGACCAGCGCGTGGTCGGCGTTCACATTTTTTCGTGCGAGGGAGGAGAATATCGGTGCGTTCTCTAAACTACTCTAACTTGTCGCTCTTCTCATCCACTGTTCAGCGCTAATCTCATCCGACAAGTCCGACCTCGCACAGGTTATTCGACAGGCGCACGACTATGGGGGCCTGACCACTGAACAGCGCGAACTCGTCAGAGACGAGTTCGCTCGCATCAAGAGGGCCGCGCAGAAGGGCAAGACGAGCTATATCACCCCTCGCGCTCGTGCTGCCGAGGCCAACGCCAGTTTCTCCGCCATCGTTGATGAGGTATGTGTGCGCCGTTCAAATTGATATCCAACTAACTGTATTATTCAGCTTACTGGGCTCAAGCACCGCCTCAACACGCACGCCCTCGTCATTCTCGTCCGTGGATCACTCGACTTCACCATGCAGCCGAAGGTTTTTACCACGGACGAAGCTGTCGACAAGTTCATCACGGTCAACTTCCGGAAGGACCCCATGGAGCTTGGAGGAAAACTCGAAGGCGTTATGGTCAACGCGACGAAGAAGAGCAACTGTATGTATGTCTCTAGCTCGATAAGGCCCTACTGACACTATACAGACTCCAAGGAGGGCTACAGGGCACAGGTGAAGATGTGCACGGCCAACATTCGCTCAAGTATCACTTCCGCCCTCAGTAAGTGCCTATTCGATCATATGATATAGTATATTCTAACTAACACTTCTATATCAGTCCTGGTCACACATGATGCTTCGGCAGGCATGTCGTACAGCCGCTACGAGGAGAACGTCGTTCGTCGCTATAATGTCAAGCTCGTCGGGTGGGAGCACGAGGATTGGAGGAACCCGGGTGTACTTCGAGGAGGGAAAGCTGCCCTTGAGAGGCTTGCTGACGCTGTGGAGCAGGGGCGATGCCACTTCGTTGAGATCGACGACACGGAGGTCGAGGAACGGCGCCAGAAGATCTTGGCGGGTGTCTCACTTACCCCCAACTGCGACTTTGATCCCACATCGCCATGGACACCGACCAACTCCCTCGCGCCCCCTTCAACGTCCCCGCCTCTTGCACAGCCGGATGCGTCTTCCGAGGCCGAGGCCGCGCAGCCCGATGACACCTCCTCTGACGCTCAGACGGACTCGCCGGTGCACACGGCTCCTGGGTCAGCCCCTGAGACAGCGCCGTCTGCCTCCGACGCCGCTCGTTCATCGGCTGCACCCTCCACATCCCTGAAGCGGCCTGCCGCTGCACAAGCCGAGTCAGCCACCCCGGCCAAACGTCCAAGGATTTCGAAGAGAAAGAAAAAGGATAACGTCGCCCGTAGCTAGCTCTATATTACTCGTATTACTCATTCATTGTATCAGCACATATTATACTACTAATCAAGCTCGCTTTGCTTCAATAATGCTACTAAATGTTGACGCCTGATAGTAGTTGATTGGACTTAGAAAATTCGGAGACTATGGGCTATGTCACATGATCGTTTGCGCGCATGTTGGAATCTTTACCACCAATGACAGACTCATTCAGGAACAATTGATCGAGACCCGTCCATATCTGGCTAAATTCATTCACACGGATGATATTATTAGCCATCAAGGCAAAAGCGGCCTATATTCGTCACGGAAAGCAGTGGGTCCGATCAAAACCGTGCCTGGTGACTCATTGAAAGCCGGCGATGACTCCCCATTGATCTGATGACTCGCAGCATCTCAGTGAACTGATCCGTCCTAGTGAGTCAGACACTTCTGCGCGGGGGGACATTTTGTGTTCGTCGATGCTGGCGACGCCGAGAAAGCTCAGCACTGGGGAGCTGGCGCAGTGAACAAGTGTGACGGACTTGGACTTCTGTGACGTGTCGGGAACTTCGGCTTCCTTTCCGCAGCAATTGATATTGGAGTTAAAATGGCCAATCAGAACTAAGGTGATCGGCCCGAAACACGTGTCATTGGCTATTCACAACTGCACAAAGGGACTGCGGGCTGCACAGCCAATCAGAACGATAGAACGCCTCCGTACATATTCTAACTATTCACCTGTACTACTCTGGTTCCAGAGATATAGATGAACGCATAGGCCCTCCAAGAGAGCGAGCAGAGTGCTGTGCAGGTGTTGGAGTCTCACGGTGCGGACACGGACTCCGGCGCTAAGGGGAAGAAGCCGCTGACACGTGTCCGGCGTTAAGGGGAAGAAGCAACTGATACGTGTCAGGTGCTTCTGCCGATATCGGCCAAGTGTCTATTTCGGCAGTATTGCGGGCGAAGTATGAAAGAACCATTCTATTAATATTCTGAGGGAGCCATTGGGCGACGGGGAACCCAAAATGGGCAATGTGCCTGATGACAAATTTGCACAGGCAATGCAGGACTTATACTAAGTCCAATCATGTACAATACTTCAGTGTACTAGCTATCAGTGTAAGCTTGGAGCGTGCATATAGTGAGAGGTAGAGCAAGACGTTGCCGCCGTCGTCGGGAACAACACCGACGAGAGGAAAGTACGGGATAGGGGAGGGCTCGGGTACAGTTATGGAGGGCTCGGATACAGTGTGGGACAGGACGAGACGGGACGGGACGGAGGGTTATCGGCTATAGAGCTTATCCCGGACGTAGCCACGTGGCCACTCAAAGACGGGACTTAGAGGTTAAAGCTATCTATTAATAGAGCTAATCGCGAAAGGGAGTTGCTGCCGGCGGGGAGTCCAAAACAGGTTATGTGCCTGATGACAAATCCAGCTCAGTGGTACAGAACACTATTCTAACACTAATACTAGTCCAAACGCTTATATTACTTCAATAATCATTATATCAGTATATAATAAGGTACCTTTAGTGAAAGAACGAAGGAAATAGGGGGGGAAACGCGCGAGATCTCGTTGACGTCGCTGGGGACGACGCCGACGGCGCCGGCATGATGTGGGGATGTGTCGGGGGAAAGGGGGAAGGCGCGGACATAGCCGGGAAATGGCGGGAATGGGACGGGATAGATGGTTACAGGGGTGAACCTTATTCGAGGGGATGACGTGGACATATGACTAA